GACCCTGGCACCCGGGAGGCAACATACCATCCGTTTGTCTCATTCGTGTTCACAGAACCGCCTGTCTGTGTCTCTAACTATTGAATCCCCCACGACAATTGCTCTCCTATTCTCCCTGCTTCCCTTCTGAGCCACAGAGCCAGACCCTGTACCAGAGACCCGGTCCCTATGGCTTACCCCTGGTAGGTCATGTATGTGCATAGTGTCTCAATGCTTTGCGGGAAACAGATCTTGATGGACAGATATAGGAACAGAAGAACAGCAGTAGGCCCCTTGAACCTGCTCTGCCAACCAATGAGATCATGGCTGATCTATGCCCTAACTCCCTTTAAACCTTTGCTTCAACACAGCCCAGTCCATCACGTAAACCAGCCTTCCTTCCATTGACATCATCTACACTTCTCGCTGCCTCAGGAAAGCAGCCAACATAATCAAAGACCCCTCCCACCCCAGTTATACTCTCTCCCACCTCTTCCATCAGGCAGAAGATACAAAAGTTTGGAAACATGTACCAACAGATTGAAGATCAGCTTCTTCCCCGCTGTTATCAGACTGATGAACAGACCTCTCAATATTCGAGCTGATGTTTCTCTGCACTTTCTCTGTAACTGTAACACTATAGTCTGCATTCTGGAATGGCCTAATCCTGCTCCTATTTTCAAAGTTTCCATTCTTTCCCAGTTTTCGCTCTATTCATAACCCTCTTTTCTTTCGCGCGCGTGTGTGTGTGTATGCATGTGTGTGTGTGTATATGCATGTGTGTGTGCGTGCGCGTGAGTGAGCATGTGTATGCATGTGTGCGTGCGTGTGTGTGTGTGTAAGTAAGGGGGGAATGTATAATCGGGTTTTCACCAGTGGAATTTATACATCGATGGTCCATAATTCTTTACCTGTAGGTGGAGTCCATTTACTTGGAATGAATAGTCATTCTTTTTAAGTACAGGAACCTGGTCTGTGCTTTCTATGAAGCTGGGTCTAAAAAACAGGCTTTCTGTGTACTTTTTAAACCCATTAATTCTGAGAATTGCAAGGCTTGATTTCCAGCACACTATCCCAGTGGTTTTCTTTTACTTCAGTTTATTGGAAGTACCAGTGATGGTGCACAACAGAGGAAGGCGAAGAAAATAAACTAGCTTTGAAATTGAAGCTCAAAACTTTTGGAAGTTCCTGGAGTTCCAGTTCACCAAGTGAAATTCGAACCTAGTTTATCCTATATGTTGAGTCGGAACCTTGTGGGTTCAAGTCCGACTCCAGGAGTCTAAAGGACAACAATCCAGGCTGACAATCCAGTCAGATTCTGAGGGAGCACTGCATTGTCCAAGCTGTTGTCTTTCAGATGAGGAGTTCAGTCGAAGTCCATTTAGTAGCACGGTGGCTCAGTGGTTAGCACAGTGGCCTCACAGCACCAGGGACCCGTGTTCAATTCCACTTTTGGGCGACTGTTCTCCCAATATCTGTGTGGGTTTCCTCTGGGTGCTCTGGTTTCCTCCCACAGTCCAGGGATGTGCAGGTTAGGGTGGATTGACCATGCTAAACTGCCCATAGTGTGCAGGGATCTCCAGGCTAGGTGGGTTAGCCATGGCAAATGTGGGGTTACAAGGGATGGGGTGGGGGTAAGGGGAGGGGGATGGGGATGGGTCTGGGCGGGATGCTTTTTGAGGGTTAGTGTGGACTTGATGGGCCAAATGGCCTGCTTCCACACTGTAGGGATTCTATGATTCTGCTCCATCAGGCAAATGTAAAAGATCCCATAGCACTGTCTTGAAGGAGGACATGAAAGTTATTTGCAGCTATCCAGAACAACTTTGCCCCTTTATCAACACGCTCATAAGAAAAACAGATGAATTGCTCATTATCACAATGTCATTTATGAGATCTTGCTGTGCAACAATTGGTTGCTGTGTTTCCTACAGTACAACTGACACCACACTCCAAAACAGTTGATTGGCTGTCCCGTGCACTGGGACATCCTAAGGCTGTGAAAGTTGATACATCAATGCACGGCTTTCTGTTATACAATCAGACTTGCATGTAAATATGCTGGTGAGATATTACCATAAGACACAGGAGCAGAAGGAGGCCATTCAGCCCAGCGAGTCTGCTCCGTCATTCAATGAGGTTATGGCTGATCTGATAATCCTGAACTTCACTTTCCTGCCTTTTCCCCATAACTCTCAATTCCCTTCCTGATTAAAAATCTACCTCAGCCTTGAATATACTTAATGACCCAGCCTCGACAGCCCTCTGTGGTAAAGAATTCCACAGATTCATTCCACTTTGAGAGAAGAAATTCCTCCTCATCTCTGTGTTAAATGGGTGACCCCTTATTCTGAGATTGTACCCTCTGGTCCTAGACTCTCCCACAAGGGGAAACAACCTCTCCACATCTCCCCTGTCAAGTCCCCTAAGAATCTTGTATGTTTCAATAAGGTCGCCTCTCATTTCTTTAAACCCCAATGAGTACAGGCCCAACCTACTCAATCTCTCCTCATAGGACAGTCCGTCCGTACCCAGAATCAGCCAAGTGAACCTTCTCTAGGCTGCCTCCAATGGCAGTCTATCTTTCCTTCGATAAGGGGCCTAAAGCTGTTCACAGTATTCCAGCTGTGGGCTGACTA